TTACAATAGTGTTATCAATTTTATGGGTTTTCATGCCTGTTAAGGTTTGTCTTATGTAATTTGGAGCTCTGATATTTGGTGCATACATGTTTATGATTGTTGCCTCTTTCTTTTGCAGTTTTTCCCTGACAAGTATGTAGTGACCTTCTTTATCTGTTTTGATGATTGTTGGTTTGAAGTTTACATTGTCTGCGAACAGAATAGATACACCTGCTTTTTTCTGGGTTCCTGTTGCATGGAGGATTGCTTTCCATCCTTTGACTTTTAGTCTATGAATTTCCTTTTGAATGAAATGTTTTTCCTGTATACAGGGTATCATTGGATTTTGTTGTTTAATCCATTCTGCCAGTGTGTTTCTTTTGACTTGAGAATTGAGGCCATTTACGTTTAGTCATAACCGATACATTTTGATTTATGATTGTCATGTTATTTACTTGTGTTGGTGTCCTACTTTTTCTACCTGTGTACTTGTTTGCTCTCTTTGACGTTTCCTTTCTATTGTTCTTGAAACTGTGGTCAGATTTTTCTCCATCTATAATATCTTTTAGTACTCTTTGTAATGCTGGCTTGGCACGCATGAAGTTCTTCAACAGTTCCTTGTCATGGAAATATTTTATTTCTCCATTGGATTTGAGGGATGGTTTGGCAGGGTACATCAGTCTTGGTTGGAAGCTATTCTGTCTTAGGACCTGTAATACTTTGCTCCAAGCTCTTCTCAATTGGATGGTTTGTGCTGAGAAGTCTGCCGTGATTCTGATGGGCTTTCCTTTATAGGTAATCTGTTTCTTTTCTCTAGCAGCTTTTAATATTCTGTTCCTTTGCTGGAGATCTGGGAATTTGACTATTATATATCTGGGAGTGGTTTTATTTTGGTTGTGTTTGGTTGGAGTTCTATATGTGTCATTTACCTGTATATCAGGTTCTGCTTCCACGTTTGGAAAATTTTCTGCTATTATTTCTGCAAATATTCTTTTTATGTCAGCTGTGTTGCCTTCTGCTGTTTCATTGACTCCTATAAGTCGTTCATTATTCCTCTTTGCCTCATCTTGCAACTGTTGAATTGACTTTTCCTGGATCCTTTTTAATTTTGTGGGATCCTTTCTTTCATGGTCACTAGCTGCCATGCTGTCTTCAAAGTCTGAGATTCTATCTTCAGCTTCATTCAAGCGGTTTTGGCGGTTTTCAATGGAAGCTTTGTTTTCCTGGAGGCCTCTTTGAATCTGATTCATGTGTTCTAGGTCTTTTTCATATTTGTTATTTAATTCTACTGCATATTGCCTTTGTTCTTCTATTTTCTTATATGATTCTTCTTCAGACGTTTTGAGCAGTTCTTTTATTATTTTTTTCTTTTTTTTTTTTTTGCCTGACAGATTATTTCTGATCACATCTATTCTATGGCCTTATGGAGTTGTTTCTTTACTTCCACTGTAATCATTTCAGCTATTTCAGGCATGTGTTTAGCAAGTTTTCCTATGTCAATGTCTCCTGTACTTGTTCTGAGTAGAGTGGAATTCTGTGATTGTTTTAGTCCTTTTTTTTTGTCATGTTTGCTACCAGATGCAGAAAGCTCAGTTTCCCTCTTCAGTGGCTGCACAGCAAAGGCCGATAGTGTCCCGAGTTTTCCTGTTGGTCAGGTTTGCCTCTCAGTGTCTGCTGAGAAGCACTGCTTAGCCTGGGGTTTTCTGGCAGTTGTTGATTTGTATCTAGTTATCCCAGGTCTCAGATGCAGACATTGGTGTCAGCTGATGGCAAACGGTCTAATCCAGCATCCCCTTGCAGTTCAGGGCACGTGCATGGCCCTGACTCGGGTTCCACTGGTGTGACAATCCCAGTCTAGTGGACCTATGTCCCCAGGCAGTTCAGGTTACAGGCAAAACCAGACTGGAACTGCAGAGCCGACAGTTTGTGAACCACCTGATTCTGTGTCTACAGTCAGTTCAGGACACATACAGGAAGCAGATGTGGGCTAGACCTACAGCAATCACAGACTGCTCTTCCCTGCGTCTCCACAGGGGAACCGGGCACAAGTAAAGCATGGACTTGCACCACTGGACGAGGAGCTCTTGGTGCACTCGCTGAATTGGTGCAGGGCCCCCGCAGGGAGGGCCCACACATGAATCCTGGTTACGGCCGTCCCTGAGGCTTCTGAGTGAAGAATTCCTGCCTACCGTTGGTGCACGGAGGGCAGAGACTCCAACTGTAATGGCGGCAGCTTCCTGGATTGCCTGCTTTGCCCCCAGGAAGCCTTGGCTCTCTCCGGGAGTTTCAGCTGGGAACCATGGAGGTGGGAGTGGGTTACAGCCCGCCTGATTCTGCTTCTTAGTTAGTTTAGGACGTGTGCAGGAGCCAGACCTGGGCCACTCAAAGAGCAATGGCAGACTGCCTGTGCCTGTGACCCCCAAGGAGGTTCAGATGCAAGTAAAGCACAGACTCGAATCATGGGACCAGCAGCTCTTGGAGCACTTGCTCACTCGGCACAGGGACCATGCAGGGAGGTCCCACTCGTGAACCTGGGTGAGAGCAGTCCCTGGGGCTTCTGAGTGAGGAATTCCTGTCTGCCATAGGTGCACGGAGGGCAGAGACTCAGACTGTAATGGCAGTGGGGTCCTGGATAGCCCACTCTGCCCCCAGGAGGTAGATGGGAAATACCTGGCTCTCTCTGGGAGTTTTAGCTGGGAACCGTGGCAGTGGCAGTGGGTCGCAGCCTGCCTGGTTCTGCTTCTTAGTCAGTTCAGGATGTGCACAGGAGCCAGACCTGGGCCGCTCGAAGAGCAATGCCCCCATTGCTTTTGGACAATGGTCTGCACTTTCTTCAGCCCTCTAGCTCAGACTACTGAGCTTTGCAATGCAGATCCTTTGTCCTGACAGAGACTCACACACGCAACTACCGTGAGTTTTCAGGCTTCCAACTGTGGTTGCTCCTGGATCCTCTGGATCACCAGCACACAGAGGGCCATATTGGAATTTCCTACCTGTTGTCCTGTAGATGGCCCTTGTGACTCTTCTACTTTTGATTTTGTAAATCAGTCTAATAAATTTCTTTGTATAGTTGTATGTATGCTTTATATAGATTTGGTTCCTATAGAGAACGCTAACTAGTACAGTCACTAAAGGAATAAGCAGGTTTGAGGATGCTGTGGTGCCTCTCTTCAGAAAATTAGTTCATTTCACTATTCAGGCCTTGAACAGAATTTGTCATGAACTGAGTCAAATTTCCTTGTAAGGTTCAGAGTAAATAACATTAATCTGTTCCAGCCCCTACCAATGTGATTGCAAACCAATTTTCATTGGAAACTGAATCAAATTTTCCTGTAAGGTTCAGTGTGAAAAAGGTTAATCCATTTTGAATCATATGTATTTTTATAAGCACAGGAATATAAAACAAGACTCAGTACAGAATGAAGGGAGAAAACACTAACCTGACTTAACTCATTATTGGCTGATACATATTTTTCTTCTTCATGACAACTGCACACTTTTTACCATCATGCTTGCTCTGCACTTTCTTTGGGGCTGTGCTTGATCAAATAATACTAGGTGACACCGTATGTGCTAAAAGTCTTACAAAATCTTGCTTTTTAGAGCAAGTGTGTACAGGTCTGTCTGCAACCACAATCTTTTGTTTTTACTTTAAAGATTAAAAAAACTAACAAAACAACAGTGAAGATAAAATCAAAACAACACAAAAAACAACAAAAACGATATATGACCTCAAAACAAAATGATAGGAATTGACAATGGTTGCTACATCACATACTGTTATCTTCAACAAAGTGGCTCAGTCCACAAGATGTAAGAATGTAAGACTGATCAAACAATCAAAGACAGTAATAGGTAAAAAAAAAAAAAATTGGAAATGATGCAGAGCTTCACCATACAAGATGGTAGAAGCTCAACAATGGTTCTTATACTGCATATTGTTTTCAAATTAATCATTCTGATTACCAGATTCAAGTGTGCAAAATTGGTCAAGAAAATTTTAAGCATTGACTGTTCCTCACAATAAACCACAGACATCAACAATACACCTATCCCAGCTATCTTTTCTTTTAAAAAAATTTATTTTAAAGAGAATAGTAAATGAGAAAAAAAAGAATAGCAGCATACCAGCATCACAAACATAAACAAACCAAAGCAAGAACATTAAAAGTGAAACAGGGTTTCAAGACAAAATAAGAAGAATTAACAGTGGTTGTTATATTACATATTGTTATCTTCAACTACATTGCTCAGATTACCAGATGTAAGAATGGAAGATTGTTCAAGCCATTAAAGAGAACAAGAAAATAATTATTTGATAAAACATTAGAAATGGTACAGAGTTTCACTAGACAAGACGGTAGGAATTCACCATGGTGATTCCACTGCATATTGTTACCTTCAACAGTTATCTTTGTATATACATATAAATTTTGTTTTTCATATTAAAGAAAAAGAAGAAAAAACCAAAATAACAAAAATAAATACATAAGCAAAAGAGCTTAGAGAACAATAAAAATGATACAGAATTTCAAAACATGGTGATAGGATATTAAAAATGGTTGTTATATTACATAATGTCATCTTCAAAATGGTGCAACCACAATCATGACCAGAGGAAGACATGACCATGTGGCAGAAAGCACAGAGTGTCTGCATTTAAGTTCACTGGGGGAAGATGGCCTTGCTCAAGTTTGGTGCCCACTGAGGAGTTTGTAAAAGGAAGCAAAATTTTGGCAAACTTGAACCAAATTGGTCATGAATAGAAGCATTTGTGAGCCATGCTACTAGTGTACATGAAAGGAAATTAAAAAGACCTGAGCCATTTTATGGGTTGTGACTGAAAAATATCTTTACTTTGTATTCTAATCTTATGTCAATTGGTTTTTAAATTATAGATTGATTCTTACTTTCTCTGTATAATTTCATCAACCTGCATTAAATGTATTCAGTTAAGACTCTAAATTAGTACAACTTTGTATAATGTGGAACAATAAGTCAATATATTTTTATGCTTACAGTGGGATCATGAGACCTGGCCTCAATGCCATTCTGGGACCTTCAGGTGCAGGCAAAACTTTGTGAGTATAAAAGAAAGTTTAGGTCAGCCTTGTTTGTGCAGTTTCAGTATCCTTTTAAAAATCACTGTTACATGAGCTAGGGTTGGTTCAGTATTTGCTATAAATGTGTGTTCTGGTCCTTGGTGCTGTGGATGATGTTCAGTTGGGCCAGCTTGTGAAACACTACGAAGTCTTATTGGTCAGGTTTACTACTAGGACATTTAAACTGATTGGTTTTCAGCAGCCAGTATCATGAACCAATGGAATGTGAAAATAAGTGGATAATATTTGAAATGTTAAGATGTAGCAGATGTGTTATGCTATGTCATGAGTCTTATATAAAAGAGCACATGGCCTAGGTTGGAACCTCCAATTTCCCACACCAGGAGGATAATTTGGGAGGTCTGTGCCAGATAAACCAATGATAACATATTTTTCTTTTCTGGGGCTTCATGTAGCACATAATGAATCTATATATTTAGGTAAACTATATAATTTCTTAGCCAGTTTATTTTCTAACTAGAGCAGAAAATGCGAGAGTCATAGCCTGTGTTTTAGGGATAGAAACCACACAACATGTATATCCTCTTACAGGTTATTAGATGTGTTAGCTGCAAGAAAGCATCCAGAAAAATTCTCTGGAGATGTTTTGATAAATGGAGAACCTCACCCTGCCAATTTCAAATGTGGATATTCAGGTTATGTGGCTCAAGTAAGTATTACTGGCTTTGCATTTTAGATTTTCTCATTTTTATGTGGGCAAGTGCCATGGTTTATGGTTTCCAGCTGATTATAAAGTATGCATATAGAACTAAGTTTCTTTACATCAGCTTTTAATAGTTATGTGCTAGATATAGTGTAGCATTAAATGAAGATATAGAGCAGATACGAACTCTGACCTTTGTAGGGCAGTGGTATCAATTATAGCTGGTGTATCTGTTCCAACAGGGTCTTGTGTTATGCTTTCTTTACATTTCTCTCTCTCTTGAAGCTGTCCTTGGCCAATCATTGTAGGAAGAAGTCTGAAAGTGTTTGCTACTAATGATCATGAGATGGGATGAAAGACAATAAAAAGTAGGTAGAAAGGAGATATGGAAATTGAAATTTTAAAATTATGCTTAAAAAACAAAATTATACTTTTAGAAAAACTGTAGCAAGATAAGCTTTTGTTTTTCTGCTTTTGGAGGCCACCCCAGGTGGAGCATCCTTCTTAATACTTACTAAAATAGTGTTAAATTCCTAAAGGTCATTTACAGTAGCTTATAAATTCCAGGGTACTAGACCTGTCCCTTTCACCTGCAAGTTGCCTTTTCCTCCAGCCCCCAAAACATCAACCTTGGCAGCAGCCTTTCTCAACCTTGAATACATGCACCATAACCTGACTAACAGTAAAAACACACATTGTAGATCACTTACATTAAAGATACTCCTTTCAGTGTGCCTTCTCCCAGCTTGGAACCTGTCTCATTTCTGAGTGTGTATCTTTTTCTAGGGTCTGGCTTACAATCTGTAATGAATCTTACTTGTGCCTCTTTCTGACATGTGCTAAAAATTCTTTTTTGCAAGAGAGTCAACAAAACACAAACTTAGTATAAGACAGCAAGACAGCCATGTTTGCCAGTATTCTCCTTGGATGTGCAAATGTGGGTGAAAATTATTCCAGTGGGTTCTGTGACTGTCTAACATGTAGCTATTGTATTGTGTGGAAAGGAATGGTCAGCAGTAGTGAGAGCTTTACTTTGGTGTGTTATGTTGCTTGATTAAGTTACATGCTGTACAGTGATGGATGAGCTTAGAGAATTCTCAGTTTGTCACACTAAAGTACTATTTGCCCTAAGGATGATGTCATGAAGGTCACACTGACGGTGAGAGAGAATTTACACTTCTCAGCAGCTCTTCGGCTTCCTACAACCATGACGAATCACGAAAAACATGAAAAGATTAATGAGGTCATTGAAGAATTAGGTCTGGAGAAAGTGGCAAATTCCAAGGTAATGTGATTAAAACCATTAAAGTCAAAGCCACATAACAAGACTTTTCTTCTGTGAAAAATATGATCATAATCAGTATTGGTCTATGTTTGTGGTCAAAGTGATTGCTTTTGTAATAAGGAGAAAAGTTTCTAGCTACATCATAAGGAAATTTAAATTACCTGGAAAAATTAATTTCAGGATGGTTGAATACTGGGGGTGGAACAAGTTCTAGGAAGTAAACCTGTTCTTTGTGTAGTGGTTTTCAAATCATCCCCACCAGCCTCATTGTTCTGGATCATCTAATAATGTTGCACTAACTTTTCTACTTGTACTTTTCTCTTTTCTAACTTAGGAATCCACCTTTCTCTGTTACTCCAGGGAAGTTTGTTCTATTGGTTTTTAAGGTTCATTTCTGGAACTGATAAATAATGAGGCCCAAGGATTTTTGTTCAGTACATTTTACTTGCTGTAGTTCTCCAGTTGTATTTTTATGACCTTTTACCTCCTTCGTCTCTCCTTTTTTTTCAGACTGTTCTACATGAGGCTCACATTCAGGTTTTAGAAATAGACTTGGGAGCAAAAGTAAAAATGAAAAAAAAAGAAGGAGATAAAGAAACTTCCTATTTTTGAGGCTTGTGCAGATCCACGAATACAAATCAGAGGAAGGGGTGGCCTCTCCACTTGAGAACCTCCTATAAAAGAAATCCTGCACAGACATTTGGGGTTTTAGGTGAAGATGTGCTATTTAGATGATAGTGGCTGTGCTTTAGCCCAGTGTTACATCCCCTACTTAGGTCAGTGTAAAACAAGGGCTCTACCAACTGCTGCTTCCCATGACACTTGCTGAAAGACTCTTGTGAACTGTTCTTGTTTGGAAGAATCATGCTGCAGTGCCACTATTTACCATTTATTTTCTTATCATGAATGATCCATTTTTCTTTATCTCAGTCCATTCCACTTGATTGTGCCTTTCCCATAAGGCACTTTCTTTTACTCTTTTTTTTTTTAAATCTATTTATTGTTCTGCATTACTCTGTGGGATTTTGAGCGAAAGCATTGAAAGAAATTATTGACTTCTTAAAATTCATAGAAAAATGATTGAAACAATTACAATTTTTAATTTTTATATTATAAACATAAAATAACATAAATTCAGAGAAAATAATTACTTCATTGATAATATTGTAGGAAACCATCTTGATATTTTAGTTTTTAATATTGTATTCCAGAATTTCTCAACTCTTTCTTATTGATGTAATTTTAAAAATTACATAATATTTCATGTAATATTTTAAATTACACAGTGCTGGCATGAAGTTTTTCACCAAATACTGGTGACTGTGGTTGTTTCTCCTGGTGATATTTTGTTTTAGGTTGGAACTGAAGCAATCCACAGTGTGACAAGAGCAGAAAGAAGAAAGATCAGTGTCGCCATGGAGTTGGTCACTGATCCTTCCATCTTGTTCCTGGACGACCCCACAAAAGCTTTAGACTCGAGCACAGCACATGCTCTTTTTCTACTCCTGAAAAGGTGACTACTATGGGGAGGGGAGCTGTTCTTTTATGTATTTATTATCTGGTTACTTCTGGGCACCAGATGTTCTTGGTGCTGAGGATGCAAATTGAAAGTGCAGAGTTCCTTCCTCTTGTGTTACAGGGGAGCAGTCAGTCAACACAGCAATGCTATCAAGAAAGATGAAAGAGAAGCACAGGGAGGGAGGGGTGGCCATGGTGGCTGTGAGGGCTAATTTGAATAGCAGGAGCATCAGAGAGGACCTCTGGACTGTGGTATGTGAGCTGCAAGCACAGGAGTGGGACCAGGCTGGATTTGGCTGAGAGAGCTTTAGCTGAAGGAACTGCTAGTATCCCTGAGGCCAAGCCAGCCTGCTGCACGTGCTACACCAAAGAGACACGGGGGACTGAACCCAGTGAATAAGGGGAGTGGAGGTTGGCTAAGGTGCTTTTGTAGTGAAATACCACAGACTTGGTGGCTTAACAATAGAAATTTAATTTTTTACAGCTCTGCAGCTTGAAAACCTGAAATCAAGGGGTTCATAGCATTGTTCTTCTGACCCTCTTTCATTGCCTTGGAGATGACCATCTTCTCCCTGTGTCTGTCTGTGTCCTTGTCGCCTCTCAAATGGACCCTATCACCCACTCAGTGATCTTGTTCAGACTAGTTGCCTGATGAGTATGGAGTTATCATCACTTCTAGACCCATAGTAGACAAACCCAAGAAGTGCACACTCCTATATATATATGAATGGTGGAAGTACACTGGTGAATACATTGTAAATCTGTGATTTCTCTGTGCAAATAAGTATAAGTACATATTTATACCATTTGTGGGCGGGGGGCTTAGCAACACTTTTTTCTCAAGGTAGAATAATTAATAGTAATCATAAAGTACAGGAAAATTTAAGAATAAAGAGGTGATTTTTCTTTTAATATTTAGTTCATATAACACAATAATGAATATATTTTTAGACTACTTAGGGTGATTATTAACAATCTGGACTTCTGGAATGTGCCACAGAGATTCTAATTCGGTATTGGGAAAGACTGTACAGGAATCTGAATTTTAATAAGGCTTCTAGTGTATTGTACATCATTCAAGAATCCTTTACCTATTTAGAATAACCATTAAAATAAGTAT